CTTTGCTCGCAATAGCTAACGATTTATCGCTCTCTACTGCCAAAGAGTGACAGATCAAACGACGCAATAAAATCTCTCGAAATAAAGTTTTCACGAGGTAGGGCTCGGTATAAATCATAAAAGTGGCAAGCACTGGCGACGCAATAGCACTCTCGTTGGCTCATTCATTCACTTCATGGGATTTAAATTTAATGATGAATGATATTTTATTGACTGAACTCTTATCTTTTACATTCCAGGAGAACTTGAGCTTTGTCGACTTCGTGAGACATAAGATAGCACAACTAAATCGTTGGATTATTAATTCAGCTCTTAAGATCAAAAACATCGGTATGTAAAATTTGTAAATAAAGTTAGTAGCCACTTGTGAATGATAAATATATTGTATTACATTCGCGCGCAATGGATTTGGCACGAATTTTAGTTACTCATATGTCTTTTAACTTTGAACAGGTTTAAAACCAAAGATACAGTCATGGCAATGCAAATGGGATTCTCCCCGAAGAGGTTTTCATTATTCCTCACCACATATTACAGAATACGATAATGAAGTTTGCGAAGTAAATAGTATCGGCGTATCGTGTCCTATTCGCGATATCTGGATGAAATTTGAACTATTGACTCCGCCACTTTCTCCATGTCGGGATAGTAGTTGTGCATCATCTCCTGTGTGCCTAAGTTCGAGCTCCATTGACACATTACAATGTGTCACCGATATCATAGATGGGGATAACTGCCGAACATTTGTCGAGCTGGAGCACAATTGTGCCAACTTAACATCAAAACTCATTCAAGATTGCATGTGGGGAAGTCACTCATCGCAAGAAAAAAACAGCAGCAAACAAGTAGACAACGCGTACGACACCCCTTGCTCATCGCCTCCACCTTTCTATCCGATCGACACTGTTGGGGCAGAATGTGTAGACCCTACGTCCGTTTTCCCCCATCACATACACACCCAGGAATTCCCGAGTGGTGAATCTTCAGGTATTAAATTTTCGACAAGACCGTTATATTTTAAGTGACATTTTAACTGATAGTTTTTAATTCTTTTGCAGAGGAGGAAATTGATGTCGTCAGCGTAGAGAAGCCAGTCAAACGAAAATGCCCCGAACCTTGTAGCAATATCAATGTAAACAAAAACACAGTTAAAGCTCTTCGGAACAACATCCAACCGATCGCCAAACGTCCGAGAATGAATCTTAAACGACAACAACAAGCGAACAAAGAAAACAAAGTGGAAAGCGCACAGAAAAGACCTGACTTATCTATTCGGCTTAATGTAAAGGACAAGAGCACAGATGACCCGGAATGCAAGCGAAATGTTCACAATGTCCTTGAACGCAAGCGAAGAAACGATTTGAAGTACAGTTTTCAACTTCTACGCGACAGCATGCCTGAACTTAAAGGTTATGAACGAACCCCCAAAGTGGCAATACTAAGAAAAGCAACGGACTGTATATCAAAGCTAACTTCCGAACAGGAACGATTACTTGAAGACAAGACGATGCTCGAGAAACGAAAGCAGTCATTACATGAAAAGTTACGACGACTAAAGCAATTATCGTAGTTAAAACACGAACACGAAGGTATAATCCCCGAACAGTTGCTGTCTATACGTTAAAAAAGTTTTATATTTAAGTTAAAATATCACAGTTGTCTGGGCTTAATGCCAACATTTCCGTCTGTATTGGTCTGGTTTTTATCGAACTAAAACAGCAACTTCCGCTTTTTGCGTTCGTAAAACACCAAATATTATATTTACAGTCAGAATATAGGGATGCACTGCACAAAATAAGTAAAATACGTCGATTTTTTGGATGTATTTTGATGTTGGTCCTACGACAGTGATCAAGGTCACCAACAGATTTGCATACTTGTTGAAAAGCGCGCGAAAGATGTCATAAATTAGCATAGGTTATGTATCAATTACCGTGCTTCTTCTATCGAGAACATTGTATACACAATTTCTTATTTTTTGAAAATTAAGTATTTTACTAGCATATTTAAGTATTAAGTAATTTAACAAGCTCGTCCTCCGAGTTCTTTAAACTATATATTAATTTTGATAAGAAAGATACGTTGGCGTTTTTACCATGTAAACGGAGAACACGAATAATCACCGTGATTTCACATGTAACTTGTATCAAGCATAATTGCACGTTATTTGTTCGCGATACGGTACCTTTAAATATATTTAAGTTAAAATAGAGTTGGGTATGCATAATTATTGTAAAAGTAACATGAGTCCAGTATATGTAAACGTTTATTAAACTTGACGATATCGTTATACTTGTAAGGTGCTATTTTTATACTGCTAGACGTTGAACATAGAAAATATATTTAATATCCGAAAAAAATGTCTATCGATTTGTTTTTAAGCCATCTATATCTCATAAGGATATTGGTTCTCGTGAAATGTCTGAAATACTTGTGAGATCAATCATTACGGATGTTTGCCCCTTGAAATGCACCCACAATAGCAAGTTCAAATTACTAGATGGGATTTCTACACCCTTCACCTTTAACCTTTTGATAAAGCATGCATTAAATTCTTGGTTAAACGTACTAAACCGCAAAATGCCCGCTTGATTCGGAAAATAACACAGGTCAAGTGCTTCGTTCTAATTGTTATCAGTTGGTATGAGATGTGAAATTAATTTGTTTCTTACGACGTGACTTTTACATTTTACTTCGCTATTTCTTGCCAAACATAACTCAATAATCCGGATGTATGTAGGCGGAACGGTTTGTTTGATATTTTGTTTATTGCGAGTTGAGAAGAAATCATGAACGAACGCTTCTATGTCATTTTTACTTCAATTTTCCCTTCCCCAGAAATTTTATCAAAGACGATAAGTGAAGTGAAAACGCTTTTTAATGGAAATGTCATGGGCGTTTCAAGCAAATTGTTCGGCCTATGGAAGCCAAGGCATAAATTAGCACATACGAGGCATCAAGCCGAGTTCTATATGGCTATTTACATTTACGTCATTTACACAAATCCTCGCGTTCAGTCTATTCATCCTTGGACAATCAAACGATAGAGCGTAGCACCTAATGAGATAGAAAGTAATTATGATTGACGCTAAACAATTCGTGAAAGCCTACAACAGAATAACACCTGAAAATTTGGCATGGTTGCAGCGTCTCATGTGTAATTAAGCACCCAATACCGCGTGCATTACACAATAAGATAATAGCTTCATTGTGTGCTTTCATCTCTTACAAAATCTTTCAACTTTATGACACTCCTACCACCTGGAATTATGATTAATGACTATTTTGATAAAAGCGGTAGTGATACAAAGCTCGCACACTTCAGCTATTTCGATGCGAGCTATAAATGACATTTAAAGTGTCTTGTGCAATATGAGGAAGATTAAATATCAATGAAAACGTTATTTGCATGCCTTCATTAATCCAAAAAACCTTAATAGAAGTAATTTTGATATAGTTTTGTCACTGTCACGATACAATTCTCAAAAATTTTGCTCGTAGACACTACACATTGTCATTAAAGCTGAGAATTACGAATTCTTATGCCGCGGGCGGTGTGATTTCCTACAAAAATTTCAAAACAGTCATTATCTGAGATTATTACCCGTAACAAAAATAACTTCGAGTTTTAACCAAACCGTTCTAAAGGGAAGCGAGCGATTATATTGTCTGTATCTATTTAAGAAAAGTCTTACATGTTGATAACACTTTTCTGAAACAGATGTGTAAACAATACACTTCTTTCACGAGAATAACACGTTGATCGCATCATGCCGATGCAGCTAATTAGCATAAAACGCGCATTAAAAATGTAGGCATATATATTGCATCGCACAAAATATGCATAAACGCCACTTGTTTTGAACACCTGTTAAATTAGCAATTTGCTAATCTATTTGCAGGGATAGGAAATTACTTTGCTTAGTGCTTAACTTCTCGAAAATACGCTTTCTAACTCACTGTTGTGAAATTTTAATTTCAATTTATGAAAATAAAACTCTAATAATTAGACTGTGAACACCACGGCATGATTCAAAGTGTCGGAGATATTCAACGTATGAAAAGATCCAACATCATTATTGTATTTACTCCTGATTTACTCAAACCATCCAACGAAGGACGGTAGATTGGCGATTTTCCTGACCCCCCCCCCAAAAAAAAAACCCCGCCCGAGTGATACCCACCAGATATCATTGAATAGCAATAATAATAAAAGTTTTTCTTTGGGATATTAATCACTTAAGGAGACTTTATTCAAGTTTACATAGTCTTGGCCTCAATACGGGAGCTTAAAGACTAAGTACTTTCTCTAAAATAAGACTTTTCCCAATAACAGACGACGTCTGCATACAGCACATCGCCCAAGGCGTCTTGGTAAAGTCAATTCTTTCAGGCTGCCTTTCAAGGTATTAGAGACAGCCCCCAATAAAAATAGGAAGTATTGTTTTTTGATTTTCCGTAATTACAGTGCTCGATGCGTTAGAGCAGAGCGTAGATATTGTTAGGAAAAAGAATATTCACAACACTACGATTTCATCCCGACAAGCCTGTTTTCGACGACCCGACAAGCCTCTTCAGGCTTGTCGGGTCGGGGATGAAATTATAGTTTTGTGAATTTTCTTCTTCCTAACAATAATTTATATAATATGTAAACACAATTACGTTGATTACACAATTTATCTCATTACAAACCACATGCATCAATCTATCTTTTAGAGTATTTAGCACTTGGCAGCAGAGAAAACCGAGACAACGTTCAACGAGATATCCCACACGTCAGAAGTAGATTAGGAAAATAGGATGTCACAAAATTGGATGTTTTAAGAGAGGTATTAGCATGAAATGTATCACTTTCACGCATACCAACAGCGATGTGTGAACCAGGCGTTATCACTCACTTTGACATGCGGAAAAAATTTTTCTTCCTCATGGAATATTCTCGATCGTTATTTCGTTATTATAAAAGAACGGCTTTTACAATTTCACACAAACACACTCAATTTTACAATGCAAATATACTTATTTATTAAATAAATTAAATGTCACATGTGCTCTGGTGTCGCTTACTATTATTATATCACGTGTCTCTATCGTGCGATCACGTGTTTCCAACGCGTAATTGGAAGGAAACACGACTTATACAAAACATATAAAGATAAAAAATTACTATTCCATTCATAGTTACTTGATTGTCAAATCTAATTTGCTGTTTAAAACGACAAGCGTGATTATATGACGACGCAAATACCATCCAGTGATAACAAAATTAAAAATCTAGGAGTTTCACTCGAGGCTAACTACATCGCCTTTAATTAACTGAAATCTTTTCAAAACAATGTGCTTTGCGAATTGAAAAATTTTCCGTGAACACGTGAACATCATGAGCCAGAAAAAATGGCCATTATAAGAATAAATAACATTTCCATTTTGCTCGTAGTCTTCATGAGCAAACAAGAAACGAAAGCGTCCGAATGGCGCACGAAAGTTTACGAGTTTAGTGCACGGCCTTTTGGGACGATAACATGGATGCCGGGAGTAAGGCCTCAAGTTCGTCCGCTGATCGGTATAAAAATGCAGCGGACTCACGATAACCATTGATCAGTTGACGTATAGCGGTAACGTCAGTCGTGTTGAGCTTAAACTCCGCCCCAACTCGCGCCCGAGCGGCAGCCAAAGATTCTACAAAATAATGTTTTAAACATAGTATTGAATACATCGTTAAAGTTCATTTGCACGCGCATTTACACGATACGCATTTCCGTTTCAATACGGTTTGTAAAAAGAATGCGCAGTACGAAACAAAGAGTCTTAAGCCTGTTTTACACTAGACACGTATCGTAATGTATTGTAGCAAAACGGAGCATGGCGCATGCGTGCTTGTGCCTATTGACCATCAAATTCATAAGCACGCATGCGCAATGTTACGTTTTGCTACGATACGTTACGATACGTGGCTAGTGGAAAACAGGCTTAATTGACTGCACCTCGAGAAAATATTCACAAGCAAATACAGCATTCTTAAGTGCTTGCATGCACACATTGACAGCAAATCACAAGATGTTCATGAAATAGACAAGTAAAGCGTGCTATAGGACAAACCTGGCTAAACAGCCTATTTTGCATCAGAGATTGGAGAAAACGTGTGATCACAAGCATCGCATTCAGAATCGGAAAATTAATTAATCGCCGCGGCGCTAAAGCGAGCATTTACGGTAAAGTGTGTTTTCAAGTGCGCAGGAAAGATGTGCGTTCACTAACCTGGTCCAACAGCAGCGAGAGGCAGTGTTACGGAAGATACTGCAAATGATTTTGCTGATGATAAAGATGCATTCGACAAGGTGCTTGATGATACAGCATTTTGTGATGGTGCAGGCGAGGGTGTACGACCATTACCGACGGAAACTTGATGCTTGTTTACTGGTGAAGGAACAGGCGGAGCATAGAGAGTGCGCATGTCTCCATGGTCACCAAGACTTGCCTCGTTTGCACATGCAGATGCTAAAATATTCTAGAAAAAAAGTATTGTTTATGTGAAAAATAACTTTACAAGTGAGAGATGAAGAGGAAACATGGTTTTTAACTAAGCTCAGTAACCCTTTGCAAATTATAGGTCATCGGCACAATATGTAGGCCGAAGTACATTCCAATCATGCTTATGGTAAAAACCCACCAAATGAGGAAGAATTATTCATTATTTGAGAAATAAAAACGTTTTAGTCTTTGCCCTGGTTTACGTATGCAAACCGATGAGACCTTAGGAGAACTTGAAGGCAGATCAGTGCAAGCCCGAGACCAAAGGTCGAGGCCAGAAAAATCTAAACAAATGTTAATTTTCCTCTAACACGTATTCATGATTGCCTTGCAAAGTCTCTTACATTGATTGAAATGATTGAGCTCGTACGTAGCTCAGCTATAGACCAATCAGCGCACGCTTTGTATTGTTGTTATTCTATAATCTTTAACGACGACAAAAATATACTTCAACTACACGGGTAATGATTGTATATCCTCCTCATATACATGACTCGTTATCATAACGAAACATTAGTCACATAAAATAACGGTAAATTCGTAAACAGTAAGTCCTAGTGTCATTCAAATAGACAAAATATTATTTTAGAGCAGAAAGATGGATGTAATTTCAATTTGAAACCTCGCGCAAAAAAATTTAAGAAATGACTGAGAGTCGGTTTTGATCCAAACTGACTAAAGTTGCTAATAAATTCACCATAAAAACTTACATTCACTTCTTGCATTTGTGCTGACGACATTGAAGGAACAGAATTCTAAAAGAAACGATTATTTTTCAAATAAGTAGAAAATTTGTGGATGTCACGAAACGAGAAAATTTAAGAATTTTTATAAAATAGAAAATTTATGGACGTCTCAAACGAGAAGCTTTATAAAAGAGGTATAAGCGTGTGTTTGGCAATGTTAACGACTTCAAAGCAAAGTCATATTTCCTCCTTAATTCATTCAAAGCCAAAGAGATTGGAGTTAGAGACATTACATAGTTGTTTCAAGCTTGACAAGTCCCACCCCACCCCACCCCTCCACGGAGGGCTTTAAGGTTTCCATGGAACTTATAGAGAGGGGATTTACAAGTTTGACAAGTCCCCCACCCCCCTCCACGGAGGGCTTTAAGGTTTCCATGGAACTTATAGAGAGGGGATTTACAAGCTTGACAAGTCCCACCCCCCTCCACGGAGGGCTTTAAGGTTTCCATGGAACTTATAGAGAGAGGGAATTTCCATTCATAGTATTAGAAACGTTGAAAATGGAGGGGAGGGGGAAGGGGGAGGTCATTGAAAAGAGGGGTTATTTGGCAAGGCAGGGATGAACAAAATGACTACAACAAGGCTGCATAATATGGCAGACCCACCAAAGAAAATTCGGTTCAAAGTACAAAAGTTAGAATTCACAAAGAAAAACAAACTGGATTAACATTGAAAAAAACAGAAAGGGAAAAAGCTTTAGGTATATACAGGCAAATTGCCTGACAGCAGTCTCAGCAATCAGAAAGTCAGAAGCAGTTCTTAAGTCATTTCTCCAATTACTGCATTTAACAGCAGCGATTGATGCGTAAAATTCAAAAATTTGCTGAGAAAAATTTCCACGAGGCGTTTTTGGGCAAGAAAATATTTTCGCTGTCCTTGTGGTTCCAAAAGTAAGATTTATGCAGCCCTGAACTGAAGTCATTGGAAGAAGCAGACACTTACAATTTGATCAGCGGTTCTCCTCAACGGTTCATTGGGTTTTTTCATACGTCTACAAGATTTTAAATAAGTTCTGATTCTCTTTCTCGCACGATCATTGAACTCGGGGAACTGCCGCTGACAAGCACGAATGATGGCCAACACTTTGTCTTTTGGCTGTTTAGAAATAGGAACCAGTCTATCGAGGTTTTCGTCGACGAATAACCTCACAAACACATTAAAAGCTTTCAGTCGTTCAGGATTGACATTCTCCGGTACGGGTTTTTCTGGTTCACCTTCACCTTCATCGCCTTCGTCATCATCCTCCTCTTCGTCGTCTTTGTTATCTTTTCCTTGACGTCTACATGCTCGTCGCAGGCCCTGGTGTGGGAAGACACTTTTATGTTTATTGTTAAAGGTGCACGCAGGTTATAAATTTAGAGCGGTAAGGTGGGGAGGAGTTTGCGAGAAAAAAACTTCGGTCAGCTGGCTGTTTCCCAATAATAGCCAATCAGCGTTCAACGAACTGTTATATAGGGTTAAGTGCCAAAAATAGCTCACAATAACATTACACTTAGCTATTTTTGACTGTACAAATGAAGACTGTACTCTAGAACAGAAGCGTGTCCAGTCTGCATACTTTACTTTACTCCCGCTTTGTAAATCCTGTAAGCTTACCATTATTCATTTCTTTAGAAATCTATTTCCTCACGGTCAGTGAACACAAAAATATTCGCGGAAGTAATAGTTGAAGATCGTCCAGGTTAGTGGAGTCCTGAGAAGGACTGTTGGTATTGATGTAGGCTGACGTTTCGACAACCTTAGCGGTAGTCATCTTCAGAGTCAAGCGAGGAGTAAACGTTAGGTTAGCCATATTTGTTATCTGGTTCTTACGTCATTGTACAGTGTGTACAGGAAATGTGTGTGTCTTGGGTGTTCAAGGGGGACTTAATTCTAAGTCCAGCGGGAACAAGACCAAAGTCTTTGCAGCGGTGGACTCTACAAACCTGGACGATCTTCATCCACAAACATGTTACGATACTACCGGGTTCAAACCATTTACTTTAGTAATAGCTGGGTCAGCTACGCTATTGCTTTAGAAAATTAATTGGGGGAGGGGAGAGAGGGGGAGATGGTCCCCATCCCTAACCAACATCATTGGCTTACAACAATACGATAAACCCGTTGATCACATTCGAAACAAATAAATTATATACATAGTACATTGTCGCACACACCCAAGACTTTGAAACCAATTTCGAGTGAAACAATTAGCTACCTTTTTAACGGTGTCCACATTACCGACGTTGAAAGATGTATCTTCGTTCTTGTCCACGTCACTTGTGTTCTCAGATAAAGGACTGGGAACTGGTGACGAAGACGTGCTTCGTGTTCCATTGGATACTAGTGGAGGCGGACCTCTTCTTGTAACACTACCGTTTTCTAGGAAATCATTAGAGTAAGTTGTTATTTGTTAATGAAAGGTTACATGTAAACATAAAAGCAAAACAGGTCAGTAGCGTCGCCACGCGGGAATTTTGGTGTTAATATGTAAATATTTACATAACAAGACAAAACCTGTAGGCTGGCTACATTACTGACAGAGCAGCGCCATTTGCAAGATAGAATAACATGCCATTTTATTTTATCTGTGAATCCGAGCAATGAGTTTCATTGTATTTTTCTGATAAATTGTTTCCTCATCCCAACTTAAGTATAACAAGTTATCAATGTAAGTGACAAGAACATTCCAGACCATTTTATGGCAAAAAAAAATTTTAAAAATAATCATTCAAACAATGTAGGAAACACACTAAACCAGTGCTGTAGAAGTGGGGGGGGGGCTTGGGGAGGAGCCCCCTTCTACCTTTGAAATGGGTGATTTTAAAAAGGCACTATTGACAAAAATGTCAAGAGACCCCCCCTTCCCATCTGATAAATTTAGTTTTACAGCACTGACTAAAATATTTGTGGAAGGTAAAAGAATATATTGTTTAGCAAGCTCAAAGTGTCAATGACCTTGATGTACCTGTTTGGTGGTCAACTGAAGAATGGTGTACAGATTCAAATGATCTGAATGTTCTGACTCAATAAAGTTATTGTTTATAATATGCCAAACAATTTTCATTAGTCATTAAGATTGTAGTTTTTTGAATACATAATGAACTTGACCTCACCTTCCCTCTGGGCTAACCCTTAACAATAACAACAAATTATTGATGGCAAAAAAACCCATTGATTGAGACATTTAAATCGGGTGACAGATTGTGTGTAACAACATAACCAATTTCAAATGGAAACAACATTGGCTTCAAAAACCAACATTGAACATTTGTTTACAAAAAGTCAACAAATCAATTCCTACCAACAATACTTGCTCTTGATGGAAGTCTGAACTTATGACGTATCAAAAATTTCTCCACCCAACCACTGGATGCTTTAAAATCTGGACATTCATCCCGTACAAGGACAAGAGCCTGGGACTGAATAGATTCCCTTGTCACGGGCAAACCACTTTTGCTTCTTTCTAGCACCCATTCAAGGAGTTGTTTGTCAGTTTCTGGTGAATAACTAAGACGTCTGCCACCACCTCCACCTCTTCTTCCTCTCGTGAGAGTCTTTCCTATCAAACTGCTGCTGGTATTGTTCATTCTCTTCATCTGAGATGACTGTGAAAGATCTATATCTTGATTCATTTCCTCGGGCAAACAATCGCAATCTGATTTCACCATTTCTTACCTAGGATATAAATATTTCAAAATGGAAAAAAGCTTACAGACACGCTTGAAATCTTTAAAATGCCACTACTCAACTGAAAATATAACTGGATGGCTGCTCTTAAAGTGCCCCTCCAACAGAAAACTCTTTTATTTGTGATATCAAAACTAGTTGTAATGTCTAACATAACTAAGAAATAATTTTTCGATTTCATCATGTTGTCTTCTTAAATTCTGATGTCATCTGAGGTAGTTGGTAAACATATCTCGTATTGACGAATTCTTTGCATGACGTCACAAAAGTCATGCCATACTATTTGAACGATGAACAAGGCTCATTAAAAGGAACATGTTGCCAACTTTAAACAGCAATAACAATGGAACAATTTGACAAAGTTAAAAACTTTTTTCCACTGATACATTTGAAATTACACTTAAAATGTAATATCATAAATAAAATTTTTTTCTGAAGTGGGCACTTTAAGCAAAAATTCCCTGCTTGCATGAACATAGTCATATTTGGAGAAAAATTATAGTCAACAGTCTTAAGTAATGAACCACTTTAAGCAAAAATTCCTAAGCTTGCATGAACATAGTCATATTTGGAGAAAAATTATAGTCAACAGTCATAAGTAATGAACCACTTTAAGTAAAAATTCTGCTTGCATGAACATAGTCATATTTGGAGAAAAAATTATAGTCAACAGTCATAAGTAATGAACCACTTTAAGCAAAAATTCCTACGCTTGCATGAACATAGTCATATTTGGAGAAAAAATTATAGTCAACAGTCATAAGTAATGAACCACTTTAAGTAAAAATTCCTACGCTTGCATGAACATAGTCATATTTGGAGAAAAAATTATAGTCAACAGTCATAAGTAATGAACTTTAGCCATGCATGGAAGCTTGGGACAAGTTGAACGACTGCCTTAAAAATATTGTTCAAGTTCAATGATTCAACTACATAAGGATTGTGGTTTCTTGACTATAATGCCAAAATTTGCAATGAGCCTTTAAATCCATTGAATCAAATAATAACTCTCTAATGCTCGATGTAACTAATATGTCACAATCAGGAAGCCAAATTCTTAGTTTTTGAGAGTTGATCTAAAATAAAACAACATGCTATGCTGCATACGATGAATTTGGTAAATGTTGTGTCTCATTAGAAAGAGCAGATGCATTCAGTTACATAAATAAAGTATCAGGAGAGAGATATAAGAAAATTATACCAAAAGTTAACATACACTACGACTATAAACAATTGTACCTAGTCGTAAATACACTATGGTTGTTAAAAATTATACCAAAGCTAATTACACCATGGTTGTTGACAATTGTACCAAGTCATAAATTCACTATGGTTGTTAAAAATTATACCAAAGCTAATTACACCATGGTTGTTGACAATTGTACCTAGTCATAAATTCACTATGGTTGTTAAAAATTATACCAAAGCTAATTTACACTATGGTTGTTGACAATTGTACCTAGTCATAAATACACTACGGTTGTTAAAAATTGTACAAGGCTATCATAGGTCATAAAAAAAATTCTGAAGATGATTATCGCTAAGGTTGTTGAAAAGTCAGTCAACAAAAACAAAAACAGTCCTTCTCAGGACTATACTAACCTGGATGATGTATACCTACATATACAAAATGGATGTTGAAAATAGGACCAAAGCTAATATACAGTATGGTTGTTGAAAATAGTACCAAAGTTAATATATGCTATGGTTGTGTACAGTTATACCAAAAGCAATAAATGCAATGGTTAATGGTTAATTTTCTCCTTACCATTTGGAACATACTCCGGATCGCCACTACCATTTTCATGTTCACTACCTTCAGGACTTGTGTCAAATTTATCCAAAATATCCATGCTATTCTCGTGAATATAGTCATTGTCCAAGACTTTCTCTCTCTTTACTCTTTTTCGAGCAGGCTCCTCAGTCTTTTTTGCATCAAAATCTTTTTCGTTGCTTGATACAGAACCTTCTCCATCAGTGAGGTCCTTAAAGAGAAGCATAACTTGTAGAGGTATTGTGGTTTAAAAACAAAGGCTTCTCTTTACAATTACAGTCGACATCAATGTGCTATATTAAAGTATACATGATGTTTCTATGATTTCGAAATGTAAACACACATTGATGATATTCACTGGGGAAACCAGTGATATTCAAAGTTCAAACCAGCATGGTATGAATGACAAAAAACAACAACCAACTTCAATCAACCATTGATAAATTATTGTAGTTGGTTCTTATAAACCATAGCAAAATATCACTTCAGCTCCTGATTATTGAGGAAATATAAGTATTTGCAAGTGTGAAAGTTAAAAATGATCGTTTATAAATTCATTAATAATCATAAGTCTAGCAAACTGCCAACCTCATTATTCCACCCAATTCCAAATATATTACACGGAACAGTTGGACGCATTTTTAGAAATATAATACAGCGCACTGACTTTCATTCGTATTGAAAACGCAAAACATGGTCGTTAGACGGGATTAAAACGCTTATTACAAAAGGCAATAAATGCTTCCAGCACGCTGTCTTCAGTCTACGAAAACAATCAATGAACGCGCTATATAAAGAGGATGCTATTGTTCTATCACTCGGGTTCATCTGTCAAGGACAAAACGCATTTTAAAAGCAAAATATTTTTACTCCTTTTCGATAAAAACAAGAAAATACACGAAAATATTTATCCCCTTGCCTTATTCTCTACAAAACGAGAAAATATCACGCGAAACTAAGGCAAATTTCAGCACTGCAAGGCAGACATTCTCTTCAAAAATAACCGACACTGCCGATGGCATCATGAATACGACAGTTGGTCAAATGCTACAAGCAAAGTTTGTCGATTTATTTCGAAATAATTCTTCATTTGATCGACGATAAATAAATAAAGCTACCTTCGCTGTTTTTCGGCCCTTTGAATAAACGTGCTCCATCACAGACGCTGCCATAAGTTGTACCAATTTTGTGTCTATCGACAATTCAAAGAGGGTCAGTGGACAAGGCCAGACCGCACCCTCGACGAAAACAGTATTGCTTCGCTTTAAAAGGCGCAAAAAGCAACAAATGAAAACGTTTCTTAGAGAAGATACCCCTCTTTAATAAATGTGGACGTTAAGCAACAGCTCCTCGTCAGATTCAAGTCAAAATTACTTAAAATTCAACGAGGAAAAGCCCAACCGACGATCTGTCTTCCTTTTGTTGGTGCTAACGTCATCGACATATGATCACGTGAGCACCACACGGTCACCGGAAGTGGGAGAAACCATGGATAATGATGTCACATGATCATCTCCAAAACTTTGGACCAGCACTCGTTTTCAATAAAATATTCACAAAAACATTCCGAAAATGTATTTCTGCAAGAGCGCTTATAAATACACATTAAGTAGGAATAGAAAAAAATCAAAAAGCAGACTGAGCATTTGTTAATATAACACCTGGGTAAGGAGGGCCATCTACCTAACCCCACGCACACACCAACCTTAATTCCTCGAAATATCTCTGTAAATTATCGTATAAATCATCACCTAACATACATATAATATAAAATACAATTTCAAAAATGAAACATTGACTATACTAACCTCATTGTCACTGTCCACGTGGGTGGGAGGAACACCGTGTTTGATGAGGATAGAGTTGGAGGTCTGGATACGAAGTTTACAATGGTTACAGCTCATAAGATAGTAAGACACTGCCTCGCGCGGGAGAAACGAATACGTTTGAGCCACCTAAGCCAGAAAAAGTCCATAATATCGTCATGTTCGTAAAGGATTTTAATTTTTTTATGACGTCACGAAACCTTTCCGAATGTGAGCTTCCACTTTTAAAAGTTACGTGAGCTTCAACTTATGCTTCAGTATTGTACTCAATGCTTGTCAGCATCGACCGGGGGGAGGGATGGAGTGAACATAACCCCCGGCCAACCCTTACGGTCAAGATAACAGGAATATCAACAACGATTTATAGAAGAACAAATTTGACTATTCACCTTTGAAAGAAAACGCATTTTCCTACATAACGATACACTTTTCTCTGAGTTCTGTCTTAGTTCGTCTACATTTATTTTTCTCAGATATAAAAGAAAATACCCTTCAACAAGTAAAATCAAACATTTCACTTCAATATGCTTCAAAATGGAGTTCATCGAATTAAAAAACACTGACTTTCCTGGGCATACTTTATCTCTCTCATACATTACGTGGCGTAGTCAGCCTACAAGTTCTTCGTGCTGGGTAAATTTCTCTATGTTCACTAACTATGGAAACAATAGATTTCTAAAGAAAGCAAAATTGCTCTAATGATTTGAAATTATCACAACACGTCCAAACTTGCAGGCTAGCTATTTATGCCACTAATTTACATTACAAATGCATTCCTTTCTATATCAAAGATTTGAGTTTTATAGATTTTGACCGTTTTAAACAATTTTGGAAATGATTTCAGTCCTGGAGTATCGTTACATTTTTGTATATGTAGATTGTCCAGGTTAGTACAGTCCTGAGAAGGACTGTTGGTGTTGGTGTTGACTGACGCTTCGACAACCTAAGCGGTAGTCCAGAGCGAAGACAACATCTACAAACATGTAACACAATAGTGGGCTACGAGTCTACAGCATCGACTAAAGAGATGGATTTACTCTATTTTTCAAACTGGAAAATTACCATTCGAAAAGAACCCACTACTCAGGAAACATTAAGCAAACATGACGATTTGAAAATTCCGATCGGCGTTTGTTGTATGAATAAAAATAATTGCAAGCCATTCAAATGAAAACGTCTTTGTAAATTTTTAAATGTATTATGTAAATAAAAACCAAAATTAGCACGAAGCATTTAACAAGAGCCCCAAACCTGGCAAAACTAAAGACGTTTAATCGAATACAAATCGTTCACTGTTATGAACGAGTTTTCCCCACAGAAAGAGTGAAAAAATTTTCGACAAAAGCAAGTAAATTCACGATAAAGAGAAATTTGAATAATGCTTTTCAAATTTAAAGTGCAAAGTCAACGTGTACAAAGAGATATTTTAATGCTTCCACCCTTGGTTTCTTCGATTCTTCAACCGAAGTCCGCAGTGTTAGTTTGAATAGAACTATATCGCTCGAAACTTAAAAAAAAGCAAGAGCAATATAGCCATGTTTAATAACAACGCGTTATGAATATATGTGCATAAGTCCACATAAAAATTGTTCTCAAAGTTAATTCATACAATAGCCCTGATTAAAGATCTTCATGACTCTATGAATAAGGTTTCACTACTGATCGGTTATCTTTTCATACTAATTGACATCCTGATTAGAATTTAGGTCGCCCGATAGTCATATCAGGACAGAATTTTTTTAAGCCAACAAGTATTTCATCACGCTGACAAATCTCTTTATTTCATCATGATTATTGGCACAAATTACGAGAAAAAGACAAAAGCGTCAAGGGAGGTCTTCGGCGAAAAGCACACGAAGACATTAGCGATTATGGAATGCGTTTGAAGTATATTTAGACTAAGATATTTACTAAAGACAAAGCGGACAGGTCGAGTCGTTCAATATACCCTAATTATTAACAGTTATACTAACATTCTCGATGTTTTAATTATTCGTATTCTTTTAAAAGCAAGAAAAAAATTTTCATACCATTGAATAGAGACTTTACGGCCAATAACAAACAACAGACAAACTATTTATAAATCCACAATGATACGCCATGAAAAAAAACCGAATCACATATATTTCTACCGATATTGATATAAAGACTCTACGCAAACCATTTATAACCATAAAAGCAATTAAATGCTTTCATTTATGACTTTGTCGCACATTAAATGTTAAATTGAGATGTCGAGGGCATTTTAAACTCGAATGATACTCAAACAATTCTGATACTACAATTTAGTGGAGCAATTTAGAATCGATAAAAGTTACAATTAAGTTAGAAAAATGTAGTCGACGTTGATTAGAAAACTATACGGCTGTCTTATGTTAGTTGCATTGAAAATCATCTCGGCGAATCAACGTAAATAGAGACAGGACAAAGCATTGACCTTCGCCTATAAAATATTTAGAAAAGACAAAGAAAACTCCCCGGCAGGGTCTTGTTAAACTTTCATGACATTTTAAAAAAGCCATACACGAACAACTACAAAAATATACTCTATAAACACGCGAAGGATTACTCGCCTTATGCTACCTAAACGCTAAAACAACCAGGCAAACTCGAAAGTTCAAATTTTATGATAATTATGCAAATACAATCTCAAGAGATAAAACACACTGATATAAGTTCGATAGTCGAATAAACATGAATAAGACCAAAAAAGTGTTCATTTTTCGTTTGTACTAAAGAGCAAAGCCCACAGTTCTCAATAAAAATCAAAAGATCGGGAATATAACCTAATCTGTCAAATAACGTGACCGAAAATGAGCGCCAATTATTGCGTGCTGTTCGAAAGCGATATCATCGCTCCGGAAAATATATATTGCTTCTTGACATTTTAGTTTGGGATGGTCCGCGCTCGGATTTTGACCGTGTTGTTTCCGACCTATCACTCGAAAAAACTCCAAAAGTTGAATGGAAATATTGAATCCTCGTGATTGGCCTCCAAACGATAGCTATTTATGCAATGTTTTCAGTAAAAATACCAAATCATTGTTGCGTTTCGGTCTTTGTTCGAAAATATTGTCATAATTTCATACCAGGAACTTTCTGTTATTATCTAGAACAAACGCCTTCGTTATCCATTTCAAAATAAAAATCGCAACTAGGACGAAGATTCAAACTTTTCCTTAAGTGATAAAGGGACTTACAGCACATATCCCTTGTGAAAAGTGAATAATTTATGGTTTTAGTTATGCGAATTAGCGTCTCTTAATAGCAAAATAAACTGGGCTATTGTTTAAACGTACTCGATGTTGTAATAACAACACGCGAGCAAATAGAGCAGGACAAATACACCAGGACCGCAAAGGTAGTTTGACGATGCTCCCAGGCCACGGCAAAAAACGTTTTATCGCACGATAAAACTGACCCAAGTTAGAATTGCCGAGGAAAATGGGCATTTCAATATATCCGGAATATGAAAGCTACTCGATGTGACGTCCGACGCGTTGCAACAACAGAAAATAGGTCTGAAAACAGAAACGTTTCAAAACGACAACTTACTGCTTTGTAGGTTTTCTTTTGGCCGACATGAACTCCCCGGTCGGTGATATGTACACTGCGAATAATGCTGTAGAAATCTTCGACTACGGCTACTTGACGGAATTCGGTAACGCCAAAGGCTTGTTGGTTCCCGTTAGTATCAAATCCGGTCAAAGCATTCTATCCCGAAACAGAAACACATTCAGTTATAGAAAGCACAATAAATGTGGCTCACAAGTGGTTGACGAAGCAACGAAAAGATAGCGAATTTAGTGTAATTTAGTGTAATTGTGTTTAACCAATAACAACCTAGGTGAAAAGCAAATCTGCATAGTTTTCATTAACTTTGTAAATTGGAGTTGTCTTTCTAATATGTTGACAGGAGATTCAAGTGAATTAAATAACGTATTTGAAGTTTCGTGTCTTGGCGCTTCGCGTGATAATTGAAACAACTGCAACACTTAACAAGGCATTACTGACTTTATAAAGCTCGCTCGTTGTTTATCGTGAATGATAATTGCAAACGAAACATTCCACAATGATTTGTGCTTGAGCAATTACGTTGAAGATTTTTGTACAGAAGGATTTTGTAACCGTACATTACTTGTCACACGAATGAGATCAAATTTACGGTCGTAACCCCTGATGATGTGGGACGACTCTTCAACGTAGGGATATAGATCATTGGCGAAAGTGGTCGGAAGGCTACAAAAATTCACGTCCCAAATATTCACAGCATATAAATCCGGCCAAACAAAGTATAAAACAGTGTGCAATGCAAAACAGGAGTGAAGAAGAACCAAGCAACTACGTGGTCTTGATGTCATGCAAAATGAATGATAGGTACGTCTTAAGATATCCAACTCAGACTCGAGACGGAGCTCAGTTGATTGTGTTTGTTTTATGATTATGAGGATAAGCTGATGGGCTGTCAGTAAGATCATACCTGCCTTTTTACACCGTTTACCGGAACACACAGCGCGACGATGCTGGGATTGAGTTGGTGTCGTAAAATACGAAATGCCTTCGATTTCACCCAAAATCGAAACTTCGCGTCTGTCTCAACTTCCTCGCCCATGAGATATCGACATATTTTCGTGTATTTACTTCGTGTGATGGTCTTCGTACGACTGTGCTCGCCGTAATTCGAGTCGACCCATGCTTGATAGATATGACGAAAGGAAAGGTTCTCCGAAGGTTGTTGGAGCTCGCCACTTGCCAACTCCATAACTTCGCGACACTGTCAAAGTGACCTTAAGCTCGCGGATCGCAGAAGCGTGACTGTTTATGCATATCAATATTATCTCCACACTGGATGTCTCATGAATGTAAAGAGCTCGCACGGTCTATGGAGCGCACGGTGCGGTCCCTTATATTATTGGCTCGTGATTTAAAGGAGGCGAATATAGACCAATCAGGTTATCGTATTACAAGAACATGTCCCAAATAAGAACCGGGCCGCAAATATAGCAAAATGCTTCTTGTTCGCATTGCGAAAGTCGTGTTTCATCTTGCACGAGCAGGAAATTACGTATACTCCCATAGTTTTCAAACTCACAGAGAGGGCTTTAAAATACCAAACGTGGTGATGATTTGACATTTATTTTACCATGGAAATAATTTGACGTAAGAATTAAGCAAGCTAGCGTCCCAAGATAGCCTCGTGTTTACAAAACCTTGGGAGAAAAACAACGAGCTTTCAACTATGCACACGAGACAAAAGTAAGCTGGACAAGAGTGCGATAAACATATGACTTGTTTACAATGTGCACAATTTCATATATGACTCTGAATGCAAGCAAAATTTGCTCACCATTTGAGAAGTGCGAAGTCGGCTTGAGGGCCTGTATTTCGTGCAACGTTAACGTCAAAATTGGCACAATTTTTCTTAAATAGAAACAGTGTTGAGTCATGTCCAAACAAGTGGCATCGTTGCCATCATTTAATTAATTCATCGTTATTTCATTCAAAGAAATTTAATCATGTAGATAATTACGTATGAAAGCGTTTAAACTTTAACATGAAACGTATCACAATAGCCTAAGGGATGATTATGAACGTATAAAATCAATTAGAGCAGGGCCTTCCGCGACATCGACCTGGCCGGACAATTTTCCTATTTTTAAAATGGAACAAATTTCACGTAACATGTATAAACTTCGAGTTTAATGAATTGCACACAAGGATTTCCGCTTCTTGTTATTACAAGTGTTAGTAAAATAAATATGTTTATTTAGCAGCATGAAAAGTGCAAACACAAGAGCATCAAACCACTTGAGATTGAGCAGAATGACGATTAATGCGATAATGCATTCGAGATATGATCGTTATGTACAACCATTTTATATGGATCATTTGGTATATTACTGGATAGGACGATCAAAATATGATCATCTTAACAAAAATTTTCTATGGATCAATGACTACATGATTGGATAAAACGATAAAAATATGATCATCTTAACAACCATTTTGTATGGATCATTGACTACATGATTGGATAAGACGATGAAAATATGATCATCTTAAGAACCATTTTGTATGGATCATTGACTGCATGATTGGATAAGACGATCAAAATATGATCATCTTAACAACCATTTTGTATGGATCAATGACTACATCATTGGATAAGACGATAAAAATATGATCATCTTAACAACCATTTTGTATGGATCAATGACTACATCATTGGATAAGACGATAAAATATGATCATCTTAACAACCATTTTGTATGGATCAATGACTACATCATTGGATAAGACGATAAAAATATGATCATCTTAACAACCATTTTGTATGGATCAATGACTACATGATTGGATAAGACGATGAAAATATGATCATCTTAACAACCATTTTGTATGGATCAATGACTACATGATTGGATATGACGATAAAAATATGATCATCTTAACAACCATTTTGTATGGATCAATGACTACATGATTGGATAAGACGATGAAAATATGATTATCTTAACAACCATTTTGTATGGATCAATGACTACATGATTGGATAAGACGATCAAAATATGATCATCTTATCAACCATTTGGTATGGATCATTGACTACATGATTGGATAAGACGATCGAAATATGATCACCTTAGTATCCATTTCATGGGTATCATTCAAAAGATTATTGAAGACGATCGGATTATTCAACGAAGCAATGACTTCAAATAATTAAAAAACGCTTGCCTTGAAACTTCGTATTTCAAAAAAAAAAAATGTTGCTGGTTATTTGAAAATATTGTAAAATCTCGACTGACTGACGTAAAGTTAAATGTCAATTATTTTACGAACTCGTAATAACCGAACGACATCGCGGGAAAGTGAAGGTCGTTGCAATGCGATGAAATAAATAGAAAACCTTTATCTTCTTCTTTAGTTTTTCCATCTTTAGAAACAAGTTCCTTTTGATAATTTCCATCTAAATTTATTAAAAAAAAATATCACTGTGTTATATTGCATACAAAGCGTTTTCACTCCTCCCCCAAGGATCACGTGACATAACAATGGGTAAAGCAGCCATATTGTTGTTCTAAACAAAAGAACTTCGTTAAAATTCTTCTTAATTGGCACACCAGCATGGCTGCTATGACCTCAAATGAAAACACTCAATAACACAAGCTCGAACATGACAACTTTTCTGAACCGATTTTTTCACAACAGCTAGCTCTGCTCTTCACCAGATACATACAAACATAGCAAGTACTACCACTTGCTATAATTTGTGAAAGTTTTAATGGCAGTAAATTGAAAAAACATACCCATAAAAGTTTTATCATGTAAAGTCAAGATTCGAGTAATATTAACAACTGAGGGTAGAAGGAAAAGGCGAGCGGCTGTGGGTAGAAGGAAAAGGCGAGCGGCTGAGGGCAGAAAGAAAAAGCGAGCGGCTGAGGGCAGAAAGAAAAAGCGAGCGGCTGAGTGTAGAAAGAAAAAGCGAGCGGCTGAGGGTAGAAAGAAAAAGCGAGCGTTTGAGGGTAGAAAGAAAGGAGCAGCTGAGGAAAGAAAGAGGAGAGGTTGAGAAAAAGGGAGCATGAGGGAAAAGAAAAGGAGGGTTGAGGGTAGAAAAAGCGAGGCTGAGGGTGAGGGAAAGGAGCAGCTGAGGAAAGAAAAAGGAGCACTGAGGGTAAGAAAGATGCCGAGAAGAAGAGGCCGAGGGTAGAGGAGAAAAAAGCTGAGGAGGGAGAAATGAGGGAGAAGAAAGCTGAGAGAATGAGAAAAGAAAAGGATTGAGGAGGAAGGAATGAGGAGAGGGAAAGGATGAAGGAAAGGAGGGAAAGAAAGAAAGGGCTGAGGGTAGAAAGAAAAAGCGAGCGGCTGAGGGTAGAAAGAAAAAGCGAGCGGCTGAGGGTTGAGGGAAAAGGCGAGCAGCAGCGGGTAGAGGCGAGAAACTAAAGAGTGGATGATTATGGTGGAGGGGGGTAGAAGAAGAGGTGAAGGGAAAGAGGATGATTGAGGTAAGGTGAGGTAAAGTGAGGTTCGTCTTTCACGTGTTTCACGTGACCTCGACGTGTGAGAGGCACTATGATAAAAATGTCGACTTTATTTCAAGGTCATGATCAAGTCAAGAATGTAAAATAAAGTCGAAATATTGCTTAGAAATCTTATCTCTGGTCAATATACCTCGAATCGTGACTTTGCAAGATGACGCGACTTTGCAAGATGACGTAACTTTGCAAGATGACGTGACTTTGCAAGATGACGTAACTTTGCAAGATGACGTAACTTTGCAAGATGACGTGACTTTGCAAGATGACGTGACTTCGCAAGATGACGTAACTTTGCAAGATGACGTGACTTTGCAAGATGACGTGACTTTGCAAGATGACGTGATTTCGCAAGATGACGTTTTTTTGGAGTATGTTTTCTATTATACTTATTTAAAATGTCGGGTGGAAAATGTTTATGTGACAGTCAAATATACAATACGACATTCTTCAAGACAATATAAGCGAAATATAAGTAAGCATAAACTGAATTTTTCAAACCTTTTCATTAAATGCGTGAAATTATCCAGGAAAGAGCTTTGGTGAGATTGGCGACGAGTAGAGCCCAGGCCATCATTACGTACTCGTGCACAAGAGCCAAGATATGCGGAACTGTCGTGATCACTTCGTGAATGAGACGTCGTAAACCGTCTCGAACGGCGTCAAAAAAGTCTGGCGAGAGGCCATAAAACCACATTCCACTTTGAAAGGCAACATCGTGCGCACGTAATGCCACGCGTGGAACCCAAATCGCGAGTGCGTTCCACGCTATTTTCGTGTATTTTATAATAATAGGAGAGGAATAATCCCATATTTTAAGGAGACCTGTGAACGCAGCGTGGAAGAAGTTCGAGAGAATGCGATCAACCTTAATGTACAAAACATAAAGATGAAAAAACCCAGTACCATTACAGATTTCATGAAAAAATGAGAGATTTGCACTGTTTCCTAAGTTAACAACGCTGTATTTTAAATGAAATAAAACAAGGGGGTAGGTCAAATTGTTGATTTTAAGTATAAATTACTGTGATTAAAAGATGCTATGTTACTACGCCGTATGCTATAGCATTGAATAGATTGCAGGGGCGGTCACATTACTCATAATACCCAATAATACCTTATCTAAGAGAGGCGGTAGATTTCTAAGAACAGACTGTCTTGCAGGGGCGGTCACATTACTTATAATACCCAATAATACCTTATCTAAGAAAGACGGTAGATTTTAATAACAGACTGTCTTGCAAGGGCGGTCACATTACTCATAATACCCAATAATACCTTATTTAAGAGAGGCGGTAGATTTCTAAGAACAGACTGTCTTGCAGGAGCGGTCGCGTTATGCGCATATAGTAAAGCTTCACCAAGTTGTTTCATCAGGTAATCGGACGTCGGTCCAACCACTTCACTCACTGCTTTATACCAATAGGGAAAATGTTTTGCTAGCCAGCTAAACGAGAGGAACGAACGGTTAAAATTGCACAAGTATTTAGAATAAGGAAACAAAATGTTGTCTTTCATAGCAAAGTTAAAGCTATTTACCTATTAATTCGACTTGCGTACAAAATACCATAATTATAAGTCTTCAGTAGTAGATTTTCTATTCCATATTGCTTCAAAACCCACGATGTTTTACTGTCTATATATTAATATAAATAAAAGAATTAAACATCGTGAGTCCTCGCAAAATTCTCTCGCTATAAACAAATACAAAAACAATCTTCACTCCGTGATAATCGCCTCTAAAAAGACGATGATTTTCACAAGTTTGGTCAAGTACAGAAAGCGAGGGGAGAAAGGAGGAGAGTGAGGCGAGTGGGAGGAAAAAGGGCTGAGGTATGATCGAGGTGAGGGAGAAGGTAAAGAGAGAAAGAGAGAGGGGTGAATGAAGTGAGGCAAAGGGTATGGGTGAGAAGAGAGAGGGTATAATTAAGATGAGGGGGGAGGGTAGAGGTAGAGATGAAGGGAGTGAAGGTGAGGTAAAGAGAGAAATAAAATAACATGTAGCTGACGTAAATACTATTATAGTATTTGGAGACAAAAACTGTTATGATACAATGTACTCTTAATCCTTAATCTTACAGTACAAGATTACATAGGTTCGAAATTGGATTAGGAAACCATTTTGTCTATTTGTAGAACACGGTATAATCACCCTAAACGAAATGATGTTCAAAGTTCACCTTTCACGTGACCTCGACGTGTGTGGCACTGATTAACAAGGTCACGTGAGATCGAAACTTGGCCACGTGCGCGACTTCTCTTTCCCATTAAAAATCGACACACGCACGCACATTCATCACATGACCTACTTACGTTTATATCCGTCATTGATCACATGACCAACTTACATTCATATCCGTCATTTATAAAGACGTCAACACTGACGCAGATGATGATGATGATAAATAAAAATTTAAAGATTCTGGTCATTCCTGATGAACTATGATTTGACATGCGCGTTGGATTAATGGATATCATATGAAGAAGTTCCTACAGAAATGAAAAGGCAAAACAGTGTCCCCCTTTATCCCACAATAACCACGCGGTAAGAGTAAGCTATTTTTTTAAAATGTTTCTAGTTTCTTTGGCCGAGCGTGAGATTCAAATGTATTGGTTCTAATGATTGGATCTGAATTAAAACATTATACGATAAATCAAGTTAATGTAAAAGTGTTAAAACTTTAAATGAGAAATCAAGCTCATGTAAAATTGTTAAAGGCTTAAATGATACATTCGTACACAGACATACAAAATGATACATTCGTACACAGACATACAAAATGATACATTCGTACACAGACATACAAAATGATACATTCGTACACAGACATACAAAATGATACATTCGTACACAGACATACAAAATGATACATTCGTACACAGACATACAAAATGATACATTCATACACAGACATTCAAAAAGAACTTCTCATCGGCAGAAAATAGTTTAACAAGGTAACATTTGGCCAAAGTACTAAAACATTACATACAAGTTACACAAAAAAAAACAAACAATAGCATATTTAACAACTAGTGGACCATCATCTTCTTTAGTTAGCGCTTTGCAATGGTTACTCATGCTGGGTTAGTCTATCGAGGTTAATCAATCTTTAACGTGGAATATCATTGCTACCTAACATTACTAAAAAACGTCCCTACGTAGTATGAAAAAGATGAAACACATTTTTGAAACATTACAGCCATGTAGCTATCGCAGGTTATTGAAAATGATATGAGACAAAAGCTGAATCGTTAGAAAATAACTTTCCTCTATATCTTATAGTTACCAAACAGCGATACAAACATATCAAAATATAACTTGTCACCATAGAAAATCATGAAAAAAACATAACGTACCTCGCATGATTTTTGACAATCGTCAAGGCCAGGCTAAAAAAATAATAAAAAAAATATGATATGTGTGCATTAAGCGAACACGGTATCCCCATTGGTCCCAAGTCATTCATTATCAACCCGATGTACCTTATAACGTTCCCTCTTGTTTTGTTCTAAGTTGATCTCTTGAAACTCGATCAACGTCTCCAAAAGATGCTTTTGAGGAATCTGCCAAAAAATATAATCATAATAATTAAATATATTATATAAATTAAAATACAACCAGCCGAAAGACAAAAGGCGATAAGACCATTGACGCCATTCAGCAGCAATGACGTAATTGATGACGTGTGAATAAAATAGAACGATGGTGAAGAAGGACGAATAAATATCAGAGAGACAGATTAAAGAGAATGAATTGTATTAGATACCTCATAATTTAACTTCATTGAGTTCCAGTTACTGACGATAATCTTTAATAGTATGCTACAAAAACATAAAATGTAGTAAAGTATTTTATAAAATAAAAACAATAAAACGCGTGCGGTGATTGGTCTATAGCTGTGTTTGCTTTAGCCTGTGCACAACGATTTCCGATCAACCAATCAATCAATGAGAATTTGCATATCAATCATGCAAATTCTTGATAACATTTCAAAAAAAATTAAAACTTTTGTTTTAAAATTTGTCTGTTTCGCATTATTGTTATTTTATAATAAAAGAAATGAAAGACGTTTTTCGTGTCAGTACAGGCTTATGCAAGCCTCGGAGACGTTTGTGAAAACTCTCGAGCATGTGCAACCCTCGACCTTCGGTCTCAGACTTGCACTGATCTTCTCTCGAGTTCTCCCAAAGGTCTCCTCGGTTTTCATAAGCTTGTGCAAACACAGTAAACATCTTTTATTTCTTAACTGAATAACGCTAGATTTACATGTTTGAAAATGTAGATCGTCCAGGTTTGTATAGTCTTGAGAAGGACTGTTTTTGTTGTTGTTGACTGACGTTTCGACAACCTAAGCGGTAGTCATCTTCAGAGTCAAAAAAGTCTTTTGAGTCTTCAGAGTCTTTTGACTCTGAAGATGACTACCGCTTAGGTTGTCGAAACGTCAGTCAACAACAACAAAAACAGTCCTTCTCAGGACTATACCAACCTGGACGATCTACATTTACAAACATGTAACGATACTCCCGGGTTCAAACTATTTAATTTACTACGCTAGATTTCTTACTTTCATACCTTGACTCCTTCATATGAACGGTGTAGGTTTTTCTCCATTGCAAATGACACGTTTTGTCTTTCTTTAGACATTCTATTAAACACCTCAGGGCTTCCCTTCGATATTTCTCACCTAGTTCTGTGTTCAGCGTGCACAACAACTCTTCGAAAACACTGCTCAATGACGATTCAGATGAACGAGTGGTGAAAACGATTGCCTATAAAATGGATAGTGGATTAAAAAGATACTGTTAATATCGATGGAGCATTCCTAAATAAAAAAAATGATTTGGAAGATATGATAAGCGGTGGTGTGACCAGGTTGCAAGTTTTGGTCCAGTTATGTAAATTTCAGAACAATATCATAATTCATCTCTTCAAAAATATGTTTTTTTCGTAGCAAGTGAACCAATGATTTAGAACCCATTCCTCTACATATCTAACTACCGCGTCAAGGTGAGGCCATTGATTTCTATCAAACTAACTAGTAATAGTGAGGCAAGGACGCCATCTTGAAAAGTGGCAAAAAGCAAAACTCAAAATGAAAAATGAGCTAAAAGAAAGTTTGAAAACCCAATCCTATCAAACATTTTAAATATCAAACCTAGAATGCCAACTTTGCAACTGTATATGAGCTCGGCAAAAGCCGTTAAATCGGCAAAATCCGTGAACTCGGCAAAAGCCATGAACTCGGCAAAAGCCGTAAACTCGGCAAAATCTGTAAACTCGGCAAAAGCCGTGAACTCGGCAAAAGCCGTAAACTCGGTAAAAGCCGTAAACTCGGCAAAAGCCGTAAACTCGGCAAAAGCCGTGAACTCGGAAAAAGCCGTAAACTCGGCAAAAGCAGATATTAATCGTAAATATCGTCAGTCTTGCCACCTTTCAAGATGGCGGCTTGCCTTATTCGTAAGTATAGAATTTTGGCGGAGTCGGATATCTAGTAGATTGGGTTCTAGGTAATTGAAGTGAACACAAAAGATTATCAAGGCGGGATAACATAGACAGGCTGACTACGCTAGAGACGATGTAGATGAAGTCAATTGATGGAGTATTCATAAAAATACAAAATAATTGAGAATGTATAATATGTTTGAGAACTGAATGTCATACTTTGATTACAGGATAAAGAGATTGTAGTTGCCTAGAAAAAAAAAGCATACAAAGAAATTTAATAGAAAATATCAATACAAAAAACTTCAATAATATTTCTTACGTTTGATGTTGGATATGCGAATATTTTGTTGCATGTGTTAGTTCCATCATGCGTTGAAATTGCTTGCCATTTAATGGTATTTCATTAAATTTATCTGATTTGCCGAGTCTAGAAAAATGTAATTATCAACAAAGACATCAATGATACTGTTGCATTTATCGTTGTACAAAACTATAACGAAGTCAACGAGAAGATGTTATACAAAACTATAAGGAAGTTAAAGACAGTATGCAAAATTATAACAAAGTTAATTAAAGATGTTATACAAAACTATAACGAAGTCAACGAGAAGATGTTATACAAAACTATAAGGAAGATAAAGACGGTATACAAAATTATAACAAAGTTAATTAAAGATGTTATACAAAACTATAACGAAGTTAAAGACGGTATGCAAAATTATAACGAAGTTCATTAAAGACGTTATACAAAACTGTAACAAAGTTAAAGAATATGATATACAGCAAAACTATGAGGATGGCTTGCCTTGCAAGGATGAGTTTCAGGATGAATATACCTACTTACCTTAAAGTCAGTTGAAGATGATCAATAATATAATTAGAAGTATGTTTTTGTTCAATAAGAGGAAGAAGTAAGTTAAACCAAACTAAAAAAAGACGAAACATATTAGACGAAACATTAAGACTAAAATTTTACTCAGATATGATAACAGATTTGAATAACAATGATCGTTCATACGATGTCACGATCAGAAACAAGAAAAAACATAATCTACACACAATTAATCACGATCTTACAACGTTAAAACATTGAAAAGAAATACACTACATATTATGCTCAATGTTACCAGTTAATCTCTCTTTCACATCTTCGTTGTTGGAAGTTTGTCCCAACACCCAAAGCAACGACAATTTCTCACGAGAATTCTCCCCCTTTGATATCACAAGACTGAGGCACTAAATGCAACGAAATAAATATTTAAGAAAATGTTGATTTGCGGAAAAAGAACGACAAGATTCAACTGACATAACGCTGTACCTCGTCGCGCTCTTTTATCAAAACACGAGGAAAAGATTTTACAATGCATTGAATCATTGCTCGCACACCATATGTGGCGTTACCTTGTGGGAAAATTACATACATTAGACTCATATTGGATTGAACACAGTTACATCACTACCACTTAGGATCACGGGGGGATACTGGGGATACTATTACATACATAAGACTCATATTGGATTGAAGACACTTACATCACTACCACTTAGGATCACGGGGGGATACTGGGGATACTATTACATACATAAGACTCATATTGGATTGAAGACACTTACATCACTACCACTTAGGATCACGGGGATACTGGGGATACTATTACATACATAATACTCATATTGGATTGAAGACACTTACATCACTACCACTTAGGATCACGGGGGGATACTGGGGGATGCTATTACATACGTAAGACTCATATTGGATTGAAGACACTTACATCACTACCACTTAGGATCACGTGGGGATACTGTGGGATACTAGTCCGCCGGTTTTTCTCGAAGGTGCGAGTTCAAATCTCGTCCAAGTCACATGTTTTTCATGTGCATATTAAAAACCATGTTAGGATTAATATATTATATATTCTCTGATGATGGCTTTGGAAAAAAGTCGAAACACGGTGCCATCCAGTAAACTGCTATAGTGGCGAGAATCTCTCGTCCATACGCATTTTAAATAAGATTTGACTCGTCTTCAATCCCTGTGTAGCTCAATAGGTAGAGCGACGGACTAATATACCGAAAGTGCGAGTTCAAATCTCGTCCAAGTCACATGTTTTTCACGTGTATATAAACAAACCGTGTTACGATTAATATTATGTACATTAAGGAAAAATTAAACGAACCTTTATTGATCTCTGTCACAAACTCATCAAGACAAAACCAAAATAAACGGCACATTTCGTCTTCCGTAAAATCTTCCAGCTGAAGAAGAATTACTTCCACACCATCATCAGGGATGGCACACAACGGAAATCCTTCACAAACACAACAAAGGAAGATTATATTGAAGTAAAAAGGGACTATGGGGAATGTCTAAGGATATTCTCAGTCTTCAAAAACACAACAAAGGAAGATTATATTGAAGTAAAAAGGGATCATGGGGAATGTCTAAGGATATCCTCAGTCTTCACAAACACAACAAAGGAAGATTATATTGAAGTAAAAAGGGACTATGGGAAATGTCTAAGGATATCCTCAGTCTTCACAAACACAACAAAGGAAGATTATATTGAAGTAAAAAGGGACTATGGGAAATGTCTAAGGATATCCTCAGTCTTCACAAACACAACAAAGGAAGATTATATTGAAGTAAAAAGGGACTATGGGGAATGTCTAAGGATGTCATCAGTCTTCACAAACACAGCTCTCTTAAGGAAACCTTGAAATTCCATATTAATTTCATTGGTTCCTAGTTATGACATTCGGTCATCACAAGTTGAATGAGATGCAATGCAATAAATCAACATAAAATTTAACATTTTTATGTATGAAGGTAGGTAATCGTTTTTCAAAAGAATTATTTCCACATTGAATATGTGCACAGTATCATTGAGAAATTAAGCTGCCATTGCAAATGAATAAATAAGAGAGAGGGAACCTTTGTCATAGGCTGCAAGAGTTGGATCTCTCTCCATTCCAAGTTGCTTGAACTGTCCTTGAAGAAAGGCTGTCAAATCTTTTAGCAAACCCTAAGCATAATAACAATTTGCCATTGTAGACCCAAAATGTTGATCAACTTTAATTAAGTATTATGAAGTATTGACAGTGAAACCCTGGTGCCAATTGGTTTATACCTGAGTTTGCATTAGCCTGTGCAAACCTATTTGAGTCAAATCAATCAAAGAGGATTTGCAAATAAATCATAAATGCAAGTTAGAGGAAAAATTAAAACATCTGTCTTAAATTTATCTGTTTTGCATAATTGTTATTTCATAAAAGAAATAAAAGATTTTTTGTGTTTGCGCAGGCTTATGCAAACCTTGGGGATGGGACCTTCACTTGTGAGAACTATAATGCAGGGGGGCCTTAACCTTGGGCCTCAGGCTATCACTGATCTGCTCTTAAGTTCTCCCAAAGGTCTCCTCAGTTTGCATAAGCCTGTGCAAACACAGTAAACATCTTTCATGTCTCAAGGCCAGTCATACATACATACCAGTCCATTGCGATTAGTCTGGGATATGAACTCCTTCAAACTTGAAGAATCACACTGAAATTAAATACAGACTAAAGTCATCAAAGGTTGCCATGTATCTGTTTAACTTCCCATTGCTCTTGAAAGGGCTCTAACCTTTTTCAAGCTTTCCATTAAAATGGCATTGGCATCTAAATGTGAATCCTTGTGATGTTTTGGCTGTTTTTTTTCTTTTTTTGTCTTGTGCTCGTGTCGTGAGGCAACATGTGTATCAGAGTCGTCATCACTGTACACCTCATTTGGTATGACAAAGGATTCCTTTTCTTTTTTATGTAAAGCTGCATACTGAGATTCCGACTGAGGTATGGGAGCTAAAAAGAATGATTATAACACTTCAGGAATTTTCTATTATGTTGTAGCTCAAATACAAATTTCGTTCCAGGGAAATTGATTACATTGTCATTCATATCTTTTCAAATTGATTTTTTTTAACAAAATTGCTTTTACTACGAACACGAGTGGTTTAGTTGACAGAAAAAGCATTGAGATTATGATATACATACAGCAACCTGGGACAGTGCTAGAACGTTAATTGGGGGGGGGGGGGGTTTATTCATATATTCAGTTGTGCCTGACTGACTTCTTTAGAAAACCAAATCACATTCAAAAGATATAACTTGCCCACAACTGAATGTATAAATATACACCCCCACCCCACCCCCCAATTAGCATTCTAGCACCCTAACTTCACTTAATCATGTTTAATATAAGAACACAACCAATAACCATCAAAAAGTACCATAATTTTAACAAGTGATAACTGATAATGTAGTCTCATCAATGTATATATAAAGAAAGTTAATGTAAACCACTCAAACCGAACATCTACCATGGATATTGAACAATAATGGTAAACTTGTGATCATTTATCATTACATGCAAAACTATATAATAATGATAATATAAATTAAACTATCACAATGAAAGTATTCAGGGGTGTGTACTTTGACCTTTTGCAAGGCGACACAGTTACACACTGACACACATATCATGTTTTTCTCTTTTGCAAATGAAGCACAAATATTTAAAACTAATCATGATAAGACACCTCAGACAATTTTTTAATAAATGTTGCATGAAAAACAGGCATTCGTTTAGCGCTGAGCTAATAACAAAGACAAAGAAATCATTGTAAAGTTCCACGTGTCGTGATGTAATCAAAACCAAATTCTCCTTGCGATTAGATTAGCTTATAAATAAAAAGCTGAGTGTTTGGCCTGAAGGAACATACGTCTGATATCCAATTTAGGCATAGCTCCTTCACTTGATTTTCCCTTGGTTTTCTTTTTTCCTGCACTGTTTTTATTCGCTTTCCCATCTTTTCCAACAACTTGCCAAGATCCTGTGCTGCTCGCCATCTTGCCAAAACACGACGGAAAGAGATCGGAAGCTTACGGAAGACTACGTTGTTATACATTGACAAACAGTGTTGACGTTGACCGTGGTGTTGACAAGACTACAACAAGTTCAAAACAAATATAAGGGAATTCTTATAAGCCCAGTAAAAAAACTTCTCTGTACTTAATCTGGAACAAGTTTGTTTGCTTATGATGAAAACAGAAAACTTCTTTTTTCGTTTTAACTATCTTCATTTCAAAGAAAGATGTGAGAAAAAAGCTCATAGTACCATCTTACACAAATGGATCAAAAACTAATTTCAGATTTTAGCCAATCATAGCCTAGAAGCTCATCAAAATCAGCCAATAAAAAATGAAAGCAGGCCACAAAATGATCTTAATCACGTCAATCACTTTTCACTCAGATGATGCCCCAAGCTTCGAAAGAGAAAGGTATGTTCGTGAAATATTTATAAATTATTTAAAAAAGTACTTCAAATAGCAATAAATTCGACGACAAATGCTTTCTTTGGTGTATGGTTACGTATTGTTGTACTTTTAAATGTTTTCGTCGGCTATTTTTGTGCAATTCGGGGTTTAAATGCATGTCTTCGTCGACGTGTTTGCTTCGCACAAGGGCACAAAAACCTTACAAGTTAAAAACGACAAGCTTGCTATGTTTTAATGTCTTTCTATCAGTTTTACTTCATTCTGTTGCCGAAGTAAAATATTTGTTGAATGTTTTTACTTTTAGCATGTATTGGTGAATCGATATGTTTTCATCAACAAAGTTGGCAACTGACATCTTTCTCGTTTCAACGCAAAAATACGAGCAAATTCTTAGTGAAAAATTACAGTATGGCAAAATGAGAAATAAGAATTGTCTTTCATATTCTTTGGTTTGATATTTGTCGGTAAAAGTGCTCTTTTGAACATAAACTCTGAAGATATTATTGAAAAATATGAAAATGTTGGTTCACGTTCATTAAATTGCCGCCTTTTTTGTTCCGCGTGAAAATGAAGAAGACTGGGCACAAATTATAAGTAACTAGCTTGACAAAAAAAAACAAAATTGTGAAAAAATGTTTGAGCGGAGTGTGATACGGATAAAAACCTTCATTTTGACATTGGAATAGTTGAATTCATAGCATCAATAGCATTTTAGTCAGCAAGAAAAATTTTTCAATCAAACACCAATGAAAAATAGTTGTCTTAGCTAAGCTATTTGAGAATAATTTGGAAAGGTCACCATTTAAAACCTATTGACTATTTTTAGAGCATTTTGCCAATAAACGTGTTTAAACTCTCTATGGAAAAAAAATGGTGATTTGTCTTGAAAATTGACTATGAGCAATCATGAAGAATACAAACAAAGTGGTATTTGAGTTGACTCAAACTAAAGTTGAAATTTGAAACAAAAATAAAGCGAATAGTTATGGGAAGATTTGAAAGAGAACTAAAAAGGCGTAAGGTAGGAGGCTCAATGTCATGTCTTAAACTTTCGTTAATTGCTTAGTTGTTTTAAAGTTATTTATTTCATGGTCGTATATACAATGAAAACGCTTTTGAAAATTTTCATTAGAATATTGTAAAATGTGATATGGGCAAAAACACAAAAACTTATGTTTAATTTGAATTGATAGAATACTCAAATGAAGTAAACAATCAGGCCTACAATATTTTTAGAGATTTATTTGTGCACACATTCAAAAATCTTCTTTCCTCTCAAAACTTTCCACGAACATTATTATTATGTATATGAACATTTTAAAACAAATTCTGCTGGGTTTAGGGTAAGAGTTATTAGACAATGCGTCAAAATTGTTGTTGTGAACGTCTTAATAATTGACATAAAATCGACATTCAAAAGCAAATAAATAAGTCTACACGATTTGCTTTAAAGATTTATAAGATATCAAAAGAAACACTTCATAGAGAGAAATCCATTGATGAAACAAAAAGTAATTTCACACTTGTCCTTACATCCGGAATTCAAAGTCTTAAAAGTTTTTGATCGGAAGAAAGTTTCCCCTCCCCGGCGGGGAATCGAACCCCGGTCTCCTGCGTGACAGGCGGGGATACTCACCACTATACTACCGAGGATTGCCTACAAGGCCGATATAAACTTCAAAAATTAAACTTTTAAACTACAATCTTCATGTTCAAAACCATATCTTACAGAGTCACTTGGATGAAACGAATGAGAATGTTGAAAGAGTTAGAGTTAGTGAGAAACATAGTTTAGAAAACTTTCACGAGCTTATAATGACATCACGACATCTTCTATTATTTGGAAAGCATACCACGACAGCACTTTTTGTTTTTTGAAATGTTCATCAACTCTTGAAAACACAGCGTCTTCCATTGTTGAGGTACATCATCAAAAGAAACATTTCATTCAGAGATATTCATTTATGAAACAAAAATAAATTTCACACTTTTCCTTACATCAGGAACTTGAAGTCTTAAAAATATTTAAGAAGGAAGAAAGTTGCCCCTCCCCGGCGGGGAATCGAACCCCGGTCTCCCGCGTGACAGGCGGGGATACTCACCACTATACTACCGAGGATTGCCTACAAGGTTGATATAAACTTCAAAAATTCAACTTTTAAACTACAATCTTCGTGGTCATTTCAAAAACGAAAAATTAATTATTGGACAAGAAAAAGAGGATTAAAGACCATATCTTACTGAGACACTTGGATAAAACGAATGAAAATATTGAAAGAGTTAGAGTTAGTGAGAAATATAGTTTAGAAAACGTTTTCGAGCTTATAATGACATCACGGCATCTTCTTTTAAATGGAAAGAATACCACGACAGCACTTTTTGTTTTTTGGAATGTTCATCAACTCTTGAAAACACAGCGTCTTCCATTGTTGAGGTACATCATCAAAAGAAACATTTCATTCAGAGATATTCATTTATGAAACAAAAATAAATTTCACACTTGTCTTTACATCAGGAACTTGAAGTCATAAAAGTATTTAAGAAGGAAGAAAGTTGCCCCTCCCCGGCGGGGAATCGAACCCCGGTCTCCCGCGTGACAGGCGGGGATACTCACCACTATACTACCGAGGATTGCCTACAAGATTGATATACATTGTAAAAAATCAATTTTAAACTATAATCTTCGTGGTCTTTTCGAAAACCAAAAATTAATTGTTGGACAAGAAAAAGAGGATTCAAAACCATATCTTACTGAGACACTTGGATAAAACGAATGAAAATGGTAAAAGAGTTAGAGTTAGTGAGAAATAACATTTCATCTAGGAAACTTTTCCGAGCTTATAATGACATCACGGCATCTTCTTTTAAATGGAAAGAATACCACGACAGCACTTTTTGTTTTTTGGAATGTTCATCAACTCTTAAAAAAAAAGCGTATTCCATTGTTGAGGTACATCATCAAAAAAAAGACAAATCGTTGAATGATATTCATTTATGAAACAAAAATAAATTTCACACTTGTCCATAACATCAGGAACTTGAAATCTTTATAGTTATCGAAGTAAGAGTAAAGTTGCCCCTCCCCGGCGGGGAATCGAACCCCGGTCTCCCGCGTGACAGGCGGGGATACTCACCACTATACTACCGAGGATTGCCTACAAGGCTGATATAAACTTCAAAAATTCAACTTTTAAACTACAATCTTCATGTTCAAAACCATATCTTACAGAGTCACTTGGATGAAACGAATGAGAATGTTGAAAGAGTTAGAGTTAGTGAGAAACATAGTTTAGAAAACTTTCACGAGCTTATAATGACATCACGACATCTTCTTTTATTTGGAAAGCATACCACGACAGCACTTTTGTTTTTGAAATGTTCATCAACTCTTGAAAACACAGCGTCTTCCATTGTTGAGGTACATCATCAAAAGAAACATTTCATTCAGAGATATTCATTTATGAAACAAAAATAAATTTCACACTTGTCTTTACATCAGGAACTTGAAGTCTTAAAAATATTTAAGAAGGAAGAAAGTTGCCCCTCCCCGGCGGGGAATCGAACCCCGGTCTCCCGCGTGACAGGCGGGGATACTCACCACTATACTACCGAGGATTGCCTACAAGGTTGATATAAACTTCAAAAATTCAACTTTTAAACTACAATCTTCGATGTCTTTCCGAAAACCAAAAATTAATTATTGGACAAGAAAAAGAGGATTAAAGACCATATCTTACTGAGACACTTGGATAAAAAGAATGAAAATGTTGAAAGAGTTAGAGTTAGTCAGAATTATAGTTTAGAAAACTTTTACTAGATTTTTAATGACATAACGGCATCTTCTTTTGTTTGGAAAGAATACCACGACAGCACTTTTGTTTTTTGGAATGTTCATCAACTCTTGAAAACACAGCGTCTTCCATTGTTGAGGTACATCATCAAAAGAAACATTTCATTGAGAGATATTCATTTATGAAACAAAAATAAATTTCACACTTGTCCTTACATCAGGAACTTGAAGTCTTAAAAGTATTTAAGAAGGAAGAAAGTTGCCCCTCCCCGGCGGGGAATCGAACCCCGGTCTCCCGCGTGACAGGCGGGGATACTCACCACTATACTACCGAGGATTGCCTACAAGATTGATATACACTGTAAAAAATCAATTTTAAACTATAATCTTCGTGGTCTTTTCGAAAACCAAAAATTAATTGTTGGACAAGAAAAAGAGGATTCAAAACCATATCTTACTGAGACACTTGGATAAAACGAATGAAAATGGTAAAAGAGTTAGAGTTAGTGAGAAATAACATTTCATCTAGGAAACTTTTCCGAGCTTATAATGACATCACGGCATCTTCTTTTGTTTGGAAAGCATACCACGACAGCACTTTTTGTTTTTGGAATGTTCATCAACTCTTGAAAACACAACGTCTTCCATTGTTTAGGTACATCATTAAAAGAAACATTTCATTGAGAGATATTCATTTATGAAACAAAAATAAATTTCACACTTTTCCTTACATCAGGAACTTGAAGTCTTAAAAGTTATTGAAGGAAGAGGAAAGTTGCCCCTCCCCGGCGGGGAATCG